TCCCCTGGCATGTGCAGAGTCCATCGGGACCAAATCCGTGCCCTGTGGGACAAGGTGGAGAAAAGCTATGAAAGCTGCTCCGATCTTCTTTCCGTGTCCTCCGACAGGACAGCCACCGCCACTGAGCTTGAATCCAAGTACAGTGAGTGCTACTCCGTATATTCGAGATGTCTTGTACAGCTGCAGGAAATTATCGACAAGGCCGCCTCCCAGTCCATTCAGGCTTCCGCCCCTGCGCCCACACCCCCGTCCATGGGTTGTCGATTGCCACCAGTGGACACCGAGGTCTTCACAGGCGATTATCTTCGGTGGCCCACCTTCCGGGACCTCTTCACGGCGATTTACATTAATAATTCCCGACTTACGCCTGTGGAGAGGTTATTCCACCTACTTTCGAAGACAAGCGGCGATGCTCATGCCATCGTTTCAAAGGCCCCTCTGACCAACGAGGGTTTCGTCTCAGCATGGAGCAGCCTTTCCGACCGCTTCGAAAATAAGCGCTTGTTAGTCAACAGTCAGTTAAAGATTCTTTTTAACATCCAGGCTGTGCCTCAAGAATCCGGAGTCGCTCTAAAAGAGCTCCAAGGCACAATTCAAAGCTGTTTGACCGCGTTACAAATGTCCTCCATTGAAGTCGAGGCGTGGGACTGCCTTCTTGTGTATATGGTCTCCTCGAAGCTTCCCAAGATTACGCTCTCCTTGTGGGAGCAATCAATTCACAATAAGGCCGAAATTCCAACCTGGCGTGAGTTGGACGCGTTTCTGACCGAGCGCCATCGCACTTTGGAGGCCATCGACGACTCAGGCCTAGCGGCTCTGGGCATTTTCCGTCAAGGTCAGCAAATTCCAATCCCCCGGCGCGCAGGCTCAATTCATACGAAGCTAGGGTGGCTCCAACACCGAGAAGGTGTAATCTATGTTCCAGAGAAGACCACCCTATCCGTATATGTCCGCTTTTCCTAGACATGAATGTCAATGAGCGGACAGACTTCATCCGAAGAAAGCAACTCTGCTTGAATTGTTTTTCGCGAGGGCACCAGCAACGGGACTGTACTAGTGCCCATTCCTGCTTTACGTGTCACAGCCGGCATCATACTCTGCTGCACCGCGACAACCCTGCGGCTACCGTTCCAAGACCCTCCGCTCCATCTAGTCCTCGACCTGCACCCATCCAAAGGGTTTCCTCGTTCTCCACCCGAGTGACCACTTCTGCCGATTCCTCCAATTACTGGGTTCCGTACGACGACAGCAAGAGCAGGCGTTCCCGAGGTATTTTATCCTACCAATGCCGAGTCTGCCAAGGGAACCATCCGCTCCGGAAGTGCCAACAGTTCCTCAAACTCTGCGCTGAGAAGAGGCTCCGAGCGGTTCTCGACCACCGCTATTGTTCCAACTGTTTGGCCCACGAACATTCCGAGGGAACCTGCCGCAGCGCTGACCGATGCAAGACGTGCAATCAGCACCACCACACTCTCCTGCATCCGCATGACCGTCCAGAGCATCCACTCCGCTCGCAGCATCGGTCACCCCCATACTTCTAGTTCGCATTTACTTGACCATCACTCATCTCCATGTCATCTTCTTTCATCCAGATCACATACGAGGGCTTCATTTCCACACACCGCGATCGCTCTGGAAGGCAGACGTACTCGAGGTTCTTAGTCCTACCATTGCCGAGTCTGCCAACGTTCGTCCGCTACGGAAAGTTCGACGTCTTCTAGCGCACAGTGATGCGTCCTGGTCACGGCATACGACGCCTCCGCCTTGTTCAGCAAGCTCCTTGCGACAAGCTCCCGCCTCTCCATGGCAATCATCCGCCTCTCCTTGGCACTCATCCGTCCTTCATCGCTCCTCGTCGCTCCAGCATCAACGATCTACGCGGCGCTCTGACGCCCCTCCATACCATCGTCCTGTACGGGTTTATTGCAACCCGAGTGATTGCAAGGGGGGGGAGAATGTTTACGCCAGGAGGCCCCTGCTCCCCCCTCTGGCCACCGAGCGTCCAAAAGCTTAAGCGTTCCCAGCTTAGCAAAACTCGCCCGCTCTCCGCTCCTCGGTATTACCGATCGCACGCTCCGTGTTCCCGATCGTCGCTCGCTTCTAGGGACGGCTACGCCGCTCTAGTTCACGGTTCTCCCGCTCTCGCGCCGTTAAGCTGGGCTTCTCGGCCGGCAGCGGGCCCTTAGGCTAAGCTAAGTTCAGTACCGAATCGACTGCGACAATATATGTATGCTACGGGCACTCCGCCGACGTCATTTTTCGACCCCCGAATTTTCTGCGTTTTTCTACTTCGTGGGAGAAACTTTTATTGATCCTTTTGCGGAGGATTTACCAGCCACCCCACTCCTGAACAATTATAATTAGTAGTAGTAGTAGGAAAATAAAATCTTTTATTCTTATCTTATAAGTGTCAAAAATGCTCGGACAAGTTAAAAAATTGTTGGATTTCAATGATAGCTTATTAAAAAATTTCCATTTATAAAGTGTACAATATTCGTCTAAATTAATCCCAAAATTCCGTTTTAGAAATTCTGCGTAACTAAAATATGTATAAGCAATTCTCTGATGTCGAATGCAACATTTGTACGAATTCAAACTGAAACAAGAAAGGAAGCTAACTTCGGCATGCCGAAGTTTGTATACCCTTGCAGATTGGTTTTCATATTTATATTATAAATTATAATGCCGAAAACAGACACTATACAGAGTTTCATAACATTTTACCTATACTTATTATGTTTACAGTTTGACAGTTACAGTTATACATTCACAGCTTTACCTTTTCTCTACATCACGGATCGCTTCTATGGCAGCTATATGATATAGTTGTCCGATTTTCAAATTATTGTTACCAAAATTCTGAAATAATACTAAAATACTAAATCAAATGGCTATATCTCAAAATTGATGCAATAATATTGAAAAACAGCCAAGTTATAATTTTTTTTCTAAAAATTTATCGAACATTTGTATGGCAGCTATATGATATAGTCGTCCGATCCGGCCCGTTCCGACATATATAGCAGTGAGAGTATATAGAAGACTATATACAAAGTTTCATTCAGATAGCTTTAAAACTGAGGGACTAGTTTGCGTAGAAACGGACAGACGGACGGACAGACGGACATGGCTAGATCGACTCGGCTGTTGATGCTGATCAAGAATATATATACTTTATAGGGTCGGAAACGTCTCCTTCACTGCGTTGCAAACTTCTGACTGAAATTATAATACCCTGCAAGGGTATACAAATAGGACGACTATATCTTATAGGTGGCATAGGAACGATAGTCAAATTAATAGATATTATTACAACTTCGTTGTTTTTCAACATATTTTCATCTACTCTGAGATATGAGCTTTTTTATTTCAGAATTTTGGTTTTAATTTTATGAAAATCGGACGACTATATCATTTAGCTGCCATAGAAACGATCGGTGGATGTACATAAAATTGTAAAGCGGCGAGTGTAAAACTGTACCTTTCAAACTGTAAATATAATATTTTAGCTATACTTATTACATTTACAGTTTGAAAGTTTCAGTAATGAAACTTTGTTGTGTGTGTTTATTATTTTAAATTAATTAAATGAAACTTTAAACAATTAAACTTTTGTTTTTAATATTATCAAAACCGAATTATTATATGCTGTGTATAAATATAAAACTTTTATACATATCTTTCTTTTTTTTTTCTATTAATTTGGCAAAACTGTATCGATTCTTAATGATCCAATTGCAAACTGCAAGGGTATATAAACTTCGGTGTGCCGAAGTTAGCTTCCTTTTTTGTTTTTACTTTGAATGCGTACAAATGTCAAGTTCGAGGGAATATAAATGCCAAAATGATTATTGGAGTATGTTACAAAAAAATTTGGTGGGATTTTAAATTCTTTTTCTTTCTGGAGAAATAATAATGTCAATTGCGCCATATGTAATCTAAATTTGCTATGGCAAAGCTATTATCTTTAAAAACTAACTTAGGGAGTTTTAGTCATCTAATCCTAGGGAAATACAACACAAAAATTAGCCTTGATCAAGCCTAGCAGTTTAACCACCTTACTATAACTCATTGTAGACCTAATTTGATCTAACAGAAAAGATGTAAATAACATGTACTCGGAAACAAAATGGCGGCTGTGCAGCATTTCTTCGTAGGCCCTTTTTTGATAAAAGGGGTCCGTGGCCGGAAAACTAACGTCCTTAATTTTTGATCTAGAACAAAAAATCAAGTTTTGTTAGTTTCTACATCAACAGCTGTCGACACACGTAGGATTTTTTCGATATATGCAAAAAGGTTAGTAAATAAAAAAAAATTTTTAATTTTCACGAAAAAAAAAACGTTACAAAATTGTTGATAAAAAAAGTAAGCAAAATAAAAAAAAATCCTACGTGTGTCGATAGACAAAGGTATTTTGAATATACTGTCAAAATTTCAGATCGATCGGATCGAGTTATGTTTCCGGCCAACTCAAAAAAAGTGGTTTTGAGAAAAACACGTTTAAAGTTTTAAAATCGTATATATTTACATTTCCGCAGAATGGAAAATTTCGACACTTAGAAACTTTTGCCGGACTCTATCTTTTGGTATGTCATTTTTAAGACCCTAAACAATTTTTTAAGCGAAAAAAATTTCGATTTTTTAAAAAAGTTACTCAGATGTCCCCCCTTAGGTTTTTTCTCTGAAGTCAATACTTACGTTTAAAGTAAAATAGGCGGAAAAGATGCAGGTGTTCATATTAATTTTGGTTGCAGCTAAATGTATAATCATGCTATAAAGAACCATAATTTAAGCTTATAAATCCCCTTAGGCATTTATTTTAGAAAGTTTTTTATTTTTGCCGGGTTCAACAAGTTTAAAGCATACATTTATTCTTGAATCATTGACAATCTGTTGGGAATTTAAAATAAATTTGGTTGTTTATAGAACTTCGTTTAGGAGACCGCTTCCATTTGACAGATTTTTGTCTTGCCAGGTGGTAGAATACATAAAGAAAACAGTTTGGTAATAAGTTATTTATTTAGTAACTACGCAGTATTTATACATCACTCTGAATAAATGATGATTATTGTGTAATATTCCTATATGCTTTGTTATATTATTACATTATCGAAATGTTTATTTACAGTTCTTTTTTACTAATAAAATGTACAATTTTCTTAAAAAGTTCCTAAATGTGTAATATTTACTTTAAACAAATAAACGAAAGCCAAGATCGAAAATAAGAAGCAAGAAATTAGGAAGTGAAACAAAGGAAAAGGGAAATAAATGGCATATCAACAAGAAGCGTTTGACTAATATTTACAGACAGCCCCGTGACATTTGACAACTTTTTGCTTAAAATATACCGACATTTCACACTCGAGCGAATTATATTGCCGAGGAAAGAGAGTGCTGTGGGCATGACTTGTCAAAGGTGCGTGTTATGTTTATGTGTTTGCGGAGCTCGTCGATGTTTGATTTACTGAGGACGGCGCTGCTGGAGCTGCCAAGTTAGTCGGAAGCTGTGTGGCAGCGGGTGAATAGTAAGCGGCAGTCGCTGGAACGTTTGTGCTAATAGCTGAAAATATTATAGAAATAAGATGATTGATTTCCCTCTTACGACGAATATTGCATCTTACATTGGCGCAGCGCCTTCTGAAACTTTTCGTATTCCACATAATGTTTTAGGCGTAGCTCGTCCTCTTCAATGAGTTGCCGCTGGCGTAACAGCAGCAGCCGTTGGTGCTGGTTCGTACCCAATCTCGTGTTGCACAATTGGTTGACTAGGGAGTCTAGGTTGTGCTTTATGTCCTGCGAAAGAAAATTTAGCGTTGTTGTTTAAGCCAACCAAAGAATGCGGGAAGCCCTTACGGATTGAATGTCACTTGGTAACAAATGGGGATGCGTAGCTGCTAGAGACACAGGCTCTTCGGTAACTGCAAGACAGAAAAGGGATTATTAAACAAAACCAGAAATTATGCATAATAATAAGATCAATTTCGAAGTCCGTTTACCAAATGTTACAGCTCTTTTCCAGCTGATTCTACTAAAAACAAACATATAGTTAATAAGCTTACCTTCGCCAGCTGATGCATTAAAAAGCGGTTGCATAACGTGCTGCATGGGCTGTGCTGTTTGCTGGGACGTCATCAAAGGCGCCTGCTGCAGCAAATGATTGGCAACAGCGGCTCCTTGGTAGTTCTGCGGTGCTCCTGCCTGCTGGTTGTACGACTGCTGCATATGCGATTGCATTTGCAGTTGGTGCTGCTGCTGCGATATTAGTTGCTGCTGGGCAGACATCGACGGCATGGGAGCCAGCTGGTGAGGCATTCCCTGGCCCATGCTCACCACCTGGGGTGGTAGCGAGAGCGAGTGAAGCTGCTGATTGGACTGGGTTTGCATGAAGGGCTGCTGTTGTGTGGCAGGCACATTGAATGGCTGCGAACTGCTCGGTTGCTGTTGCTGGTGTTGTTGCATCATTATTGACTGTTGCGGCATGAGGTTCTGCTGCTGCTGTGGCTGAATTGACTGCATCGGAAGGGCCTGCTGCTGGATGGCGGTGACCATCGTGGAGTGGCCATTGAGTCCAGACTGTTGGGGCATATTCTGATGCACCAGTTGTTGCGGCTGCTGTGCTTGCATGTTGGGCATTTGCTGCATCTGTGTTGATCCATTCTGGTTGATCACTTGAGGCACCACAATGCACTGGGCCGTTGAGGTGGCCGCTCCAGCCGTTGAGGTGGCGGAGGCACCGCTAACTACGGGGAGTTGGTGAATCGGCTGGGGCTGTTGGTAAATCAACTGAATGCCGTTAATGGCCAGCGGAACCGCTTGAATTGGAGAGCTTATTAGCTCAGTGGTTGGTGTGTTCACCACACTGCCGTTCTGCACCGAGCTGTTGCTCTGAACTGGGCCAGACCCAGAGCCCGCCACCTGCAGATCAATCTTTAGCTGACCTTGTGGCGGCTCCTCTGTCCCAGCTGCGGCCTTCTGCTCCTGCACACGACTAACGCTGAATCGTGAAATCTTCCGAGCACTTGGATTACTGCCGACGGCCTCCTCAACCTGTTTAGGCACTGCCGACAATGTGGCTGTCGCTGGCTGTAAATGGCACATTTTAATGGTAAATTGATGACTAGTTGAAGCTCCTTACCTCTTCGGCGTTGTCTGCGTTCCGCAAAGCGGCCAATTTCTTCTCCAAGTCCGCTATGGAGTTCTGATTGAGTGATCCGTTGCTGGGATTCCTTTGCGGGGCCTCACTGCCGCCGGTCGAAATCAAAGTAGCTGAAGGGGGTTTCTCCAGGCTGGGCTGCTTTGATAGCTGATTCTCGTTGCTAGGTGTAGTGTCAGTCGGAGTCGGATCCGAGTTGCCGACGGACAGCGCCTCAAGATTAGTGGCAGCCTGCAGGTGCACATCGGACCCCACGCTGTTGTCGATTGAAGTGCGTCGGGAATTGTAAAGAGAGGAGCCAGAGCCCCTGGCCGAGGTCAGTGCTGCATTGGGGGTGTTCTGGCCCACAGAGGATGCTGATCCGCCAACAGTGTTATTTGGTTTGTTAAGCTAAGCACAATAAAATAAAAGAATGAATAATCGTACCCTATTGAATACTATTGCTGGTGTCCTCCTTACCTCTTGTGCCTGCGGATTGCCAGAAGAAGCCTTGAGCGATGACATGGCCGGAGAGGACTGGTGAGGAGCTCGGTTATTGATGGATGCCACTACAGCTGAGGCAAACGCATGAGCATGCGTTATGTTCTCAAGCTCGATCTTCAGCTGTTCCAAGGTATTGGCAGCTCCAGCTCCCTGGTTAGCTGCTGCCTGGGCTTGGCCTGATTTATCATGGGGCCTCTCGGCCTCGATTGCCTCTGGCTGACTGTCCTCCGATGACTCCGCGGAGGCCTTGTTGGGCATGTCGAATGTAATTTTCACTGCGGTCAAGTCGTCCAGGCTTCTGGTGTGTTTTAGGTCCTCCTGGATCTTAAGATGTCGATTCAAGGGCAGATTGAGGCTCCGAGGAGCTCCGCTGCCAGTTGACTCCAGGAGTTTTTGCATCCGAGCGATGGCCAGGGAGCATGGTTTCGATCTATCCTTTATTTCATCGAGAACGGGTTCCGCGCCCGTTGGCGTAATGTTACTATCTGGCATGTAGTCAATCGACAGCGATGTGTACTCCGAGGCTGTGCTCGTCTTGCGCGAGACGGAGCCGGATCCGATGGTCACGTCGTTGCTGCTATTGGGCGCGTCCCTTGATGCAGTTGAGGAGGACGACAGTGTTGAAGCGGTGGTCGGCGGTGTGCCAACATTCCCCTGGGATTCTTGGGCATTTGCTATCCTAGAGACGTGCGATTTTGCCTCGATTGTCAATGTGGAGTTCATTGGCTCCGAACCCCCTCCCCCGGAGTGCAGTGTCTCAACACCATGGATGGTGGGCTCGAACATCTTGGTTATGTCGCTGGCGGTTTCATCCCGCTAAAATTAGTGCGTTATACGTAAGTCAAAGTAATCAGGAAAGGATAAGTTCATATGTGTTAAATTAAAATTCCAACGTTTAACCGAAATATTAAAAATAAAATTCACTTCTTATTGTAAGGAGAGAACATAAGATTAACAAAAATATTCCTATTCTATCTTTTTAAAGACGATATTTTTAAATGTATTATTTACCAAATCCGATTAATTTACTCGATTCATAGTGCCTTCATAGTTAACAAACTTTATAACTAGATTACTGGCACAACATGACTATTGTCGCCGATATTAAAAATACTTCTACACCTCAAATGGGAAAATGAACATTAGGAATTTACCAGTTGCATAGATAATTTTCAAACGTTGTAGGTAAACTCGAATACCTTATATTTACAAGATGCATAACACCTGAACATTTAAATTACCATATTGAAACAGTTTGGCTTCAAGGGACAAATTAGAATCCCTTTTTGTTATCACAAGGTGAAAACTGGGAATAATTTGAACATTATATGTTTGATAACGTATCACAGCAAGTGCGAATGCATGTGTGCGTACAGATCTAGACCGTGCAGTACCAATCACCAGGAATTTATCTAAAGTTCATCAACATAAATTTCGGGTCAAAACCGACATTTCTGGTTTTCTCCCTTCAAAAATAATGTTCATACCAGCTCAATGAATATATGAATTATTGATGACATGTCAACCAATTTTGGGCCTTTTGATGACGAAAGAAGTTTTCGTCTTAGAACAGTTTATGAAAAGTTGAAGAATTTGTCACTGTTCTCATAAACATAAACTGGGGCTTGTCATTAACATTTCGGGCTAAAATTTCATCGATATTTCATGAAACTATTTATCGACTATTCATGAATTCATTTGTTCATCGATCTACAAGCAATTTTATTTTTGAAGAGCGAAAATGAGAGAGCGTGTTTTGTGACATCAATATTGAATAAGAGCATCCGCTGGCAGAGAGTGGTTGGAAGTGAAAAGCGAGCGAATGGCTCTAAAGAGCTTTTTCTTCTTCTGAGACAAAAAAAAAAATCGAACTCGTATTAAAGAAAATTTTACTCATTTTGTTATTATATGTCTTTGGTAGAATAAAATCGCTTACGTTTATCTGTTTTGCCTCTTGTCTTTAAAACTCTTATTACAGAAAACCATTGAAAAGATTTGGAAATACACTTTGAAAAATAATACAAAAAAATGCTCGACTATGTATGTAATTTTTCGAATCATGTCTAAGAGTAAATAAAAACATCCTGATAAGTAAAAACATTTTAGCTAGGAAATAAATAAGTGTTTACATAAGCCCAGTGCACTCAACACTTACAGATCTATGTCTTTGGTGTGACCTAAACGTGGAACGCTGTCGAGTTAGAGACGCGTGTCGGACCTGTTTTGTATAGTATAGTAGGGATAGATCAAACAATCAAAAAACATGGATTTTGTGATATCGAAATTATAATCGCTTGGTTAAGTATTTAACGAATTTATATCGAAACGGGAAGCAATTTGAACCATTTACATGAACAAGATACACAACTAGAGAGACTCTAGATAATTGTTATATGCAGTAAGGGCCAGGATATCTTGGATACGATAGGCATTTTAGGGAAACTATTATTTGTTATTATTTTGTCTGAAAATGGATGACGGTTGGAAAAGCGTGTTCCCAAGAAAGAAATTTTTTCAAAAAGGACATGTTTACGTTGTATTAGGATCATTGAGATATTGTTGGTTCTCATCTCTGATTGTTCTTCCAAGAAACAGTAAGTATCCTTGCGTCTGCGTTTAAAAAACCCTAAGGTCTCGTAAGAATGGTCTTCATTGAGCAACAAAGAGATTTGTATGTGATATAGTTTTGCGGATAGCGATGTACCTTTTCAATATTGCGGCGATAATTGGTTGGTATAGGGATTTGGTTGGGATTCTGTTTGACTTGGTCAACAATTTCATTGATCATTTCCACAAATACTGTACTTTGGCAATTCGAAAGCAAATCTTGAGCGATCTGAAAAAGATAATGAACGAATACGATTCAGCTTATTGAGCAGACGTCAATATGAAGTTGGGTCTTACCAATTTGTTGGCAATTTCAACGGGATTCACATCTCCAATGTCAAATTTGAAAGTAATCGTTTTCAGCTTGTTCTCCATGTGACAATTTATGACGCTTCCCTCGTCTACACTGGTAACACTTAGTTTGGGAATCCGTTCGTTGCCGCTCCGATTGGAACGTCTCGGCTTCTGTGCACGACTCGCAGAAGTGTTCCCCTGTTGCTGCTGCTTTAGCTTTTCTGCTGTATCTGCCGATGCACTTTCGAGATTTGTTAGGGTTAAGCTATTGCTAACAGACATAATCTCCGATGCAGTAGCTTGCTGCTCTGGATTAGTCTGGCTCAACTGCTGACTTTCCATCTGGATTTGGATCCCTTGCAAAGGCATCTGCAACTGTTCATCCACTTGAGGCTGTGCCTGCGGGTGCTGGACAACGTTTTTTAGCTGTGGTGCCTGCTGTTGCTGCGGAATTGAGTGTTGCTGTTGCTGCTGGACAATAGGTGGCTGGGAAATAGGTTGTTGCTGTTGCTGCTGGACAATAGGTTGTTGTTGCTGCTGCTGTTGTTGTAATGGTTGTTGTTGCAGTGGCTGGCTGTGCAACAACTGCTGCAATTGCTGCTCTAATGGCAAGGACAACTGTATAGGTTGCTGAGCCGGAGGCGCCTGCTGCTGCTGAACGAATTGTGAGTGTTGCTGCTGATTAGATATCGGCGCAAATCCTGCATGTTGCTGTTGCTGCTGCTGCTGGGGATCAGCAGAGAGAGGAGGCACTTGAGGCTGTAGTTGCTGAGCCTGTTGGTTGTACGTCTGAGTCAGTGGTTGTTGCATTGCAGGAGCCACAGAAGTGGATGGCACTTGCATCTGCACGGGAATCTGCATGGGAGCCATCACCTGTGATCCAGCAATTAATTGCTGTGGCATTGGCTGGGCATACTGTTGCACGAATTGTTGTTGTTGAAGTTGTTGTTGCTGCAGTTGCTGCTGAAGCTGCTGCTGTTGCTGCTGGAGCTGTTGCAACTGATGCTGAGCAAGTTGTTGTTGCAAGATCTGTTGTTGTTGTTGCTGGTGTTGCTGTTGCTGCTGCTGATGAGAAGCAGCCACCTGCTGTTGTTGCTGCTGTATCATCTGCTGCTGCTGCTGAATTTGGAGTGTCTGCGATAACTGTTGCTGCTGGTTCGTCTGCTGCATCGCATACGCCTGCTGCTGTTGATGCTGCGCCAGTTGATTCGGATGCATTTGGTTGAGGTTCGCCTGTGGTTGCTGCTGCTGCTGGAAATATTGCTGGGCTTGTTGCTGGGCCATTTGGTGCTGCTGGGCCATGTCCGGTGACTGGACGCTCGCATGCATTAGCTGCTGCAATTGTTGCTGCAGGGGAATCTGAATCTGGCCTGTTTGCTGATCTGGTTGTTGTTGCTGCGGTTGTTGTTCATGTTGCTGGTTGGGCAAAACAGTCTGAGGCGGCACTTGCTGTTGCATTTGCTGCATCATTTGCTGCTGCGGCTGCTGCTGATTGCCAGCTTGCTGGTGCTGCTGCTGCTGTTGATGACTGATGGCCGACGGTGTCACTTGGGGTTGCTGCTGCATTTGCTGGCTGCTTGTTGGTGAAATAACCTGTTGGCTGTTGGACATCTCCGGCATCGTCGAACCCTGGTAGGACGCAAGCTGCGGCGGCTGGATGTAGTGCACAGTTGGCTTCTGTTGCATGGCAATGGCTGGGACCTGTGGCTGCACCGAGATCAACTGGGAAACGGCCACAGGGACTTGCACTTGCACTGGCGGCTGCTGGTTTGTGTTCGGGATGGAAGTGTTCGAGCGCGTGGAGAGAATCTGCGGCTCAGCGCTGTTCGTAGAGAGAGCGAGGCTTGTCTCTGAATCGGTGTTCAACATGTCGTACTTGAATTGCAGCCGCTGATTCCATTTAACACCGTCTTCCTCGTCCTCGGACTCCTCATCTTCCTCCTCATCCTCGTCGACATTTGTGGGCAAGCTTTCCCTTTGCTTTTGTAGTGCCAGCTTCTCCAGGCGCGACTTCTCGTTCTGCAGCTTGATCTGCGTCTGGCGCTGAGCGCGCTCCTTCAGCAATGAAACAACCTGGACTTTGAGGAGCCGGGCTACAGCGCGCGAGTCGTCCTCTGATATAATGTTCTCCTTCATCATTTCCTGAGCAATCTGCTCGTACTCATCGTGCTTGATGTTATACTCGAACTGAATTGCCTCGTTCTCCTTGTGTCGGGAGGAACGCTTCTTGGGGTCCATGAAACGCAGCCGAAACTCGATGATGCTGATGCTGGGATCGGAGAGGAACTGTTCGGAGGCAGTGGGTTCCACGCGGATGCCGATGTCCTCATCGAAGAACTCCGACTCCAGGAGTTCATTGCAGCTGGGACGGTCCTCCTTCTTTAGTTCGATGCACCGCTCAATGATGTCACGCACATTGGGATCCTCCACTTTGGCCAGCGCTGCTGGCTTGATGCCGGATATCACCTTCTTGTAGATCTGCGCCGGACCTTTGCACTCGCTGTACGGATACTCGGAGATGGCCATCTCCAACATGCACATGCCGAACGCATAGACATCCACCGATTCGTCATAGTGCTCCTCGTACATTTCTGGCGCCATGAACTCCGGCGTACCAATCACAGATTTTGCATGGGAGCGATTCTTCAACGTTGCCAGGCCCAAGTCGCCGATTTTAACACTGCCAGTGGTGCCAGTTATAAAAATATTATCACATTTCAAATCACGATGAATTATAGGAAATTGACGAGTATGCAGAAAGTTGAGTCCTTTCAGAATCTGGCGACACCATGACTTCAATACCTTTGGGTGTATTTTCTTGAACCGTTTTAAATAGCTGCAACAAAAACGTATTGTACAAAACATGTATTTATATATATTTATTTGTCTTACGATTTCAATGTTCCAGATAACATTAGTTCGGTGACTAGTACTATATTCTTCTTGCGCCCAATGGGAAACTCCCAATATGTATAGAATCGCACGATGTTCGGGTGCTGGAGCTTCTTTAGCATGTCTGCCTCCTCGCGGAATCTGGTGCGTTCGCTTTTCTTCACTTGCTTGTCCTGAAAAACGTTAAGGATTTGTCAGTGTATAATAAATATTGGGACAAAACACTATAAGTAAACTTGTTGTAGCCATCGGGACGTTGAAAATACATGACATTTAAAATAGATCCAGTTTGGTGAAATGAAAAGAACCCAACAGAAAAGAAATAAGACATTTATATGAAAAAAAAAAAAAACCGAGCTTTGGCCTATTTCCCTGCAGTACTACATATCATCAACTGTATCAACGTTTCATCAACGTGTTAAAAAACCGTAGAGTTCTTATTATTTTCTATTATTTTGCCGATCGTTCCTGTTACAGTTACAAAATATATTCGTCAGATCTCGTAAGATAAAACAAACTTTCGATCAAGGGTATAAAAACCAGCATTAAGCTTATAACGAACTTTTGTTGGTAACATACATATTTTTACATATACAGTGGTGCTCATAGACTTAAGCCACAAGACTTCAACCAAGAATTTTAACGAAAATTAAGAAAAGTTTTTATTCCACAGCTCCAATTATTTGTGTCACATTAGTTCTATATTTCAGTGTTCTAATAAAAGAATAACCAAGTTATAAAAATATATATTCAACGAAAAATTAAAAAAATCTGAGACCAACCCCAAAATGTCCTGCTCACATACTTAAGCCACCTGGAAGAAAATGATCCAAAAAGTTAAAATTTGCCCAATATTCCTTATAATTATAATAAATTTAGTTTCATATTAAGTGGGATGACCTTTCTGATTAAGAACAGCGGAGCAACACTTTGACATTAAGCCCACAAGACGTGCGCACTGTTGAGGGGTGATTTTCTTCAACTCTTCCTGCAAAATATGCCAAAATCGTTTTTTTTTTTTTGCTGTTTTTTTTGGCCAACGACTTGTTTAAGAATACCCCACAAGTTCTCTATAGGGTTCAAGTCGGGGATCTGCGGTAGCCATTGCAAAACATTGATTGTCTCTTGGCTAAGCCACGACTTGACTATCTTGCTGGTGTGTTTCGGGTCGTTGTCCTGTTGAAATATCCAGGCAAGTGGCAAATTATCGGCATATTCTCCAGATAAATTGTTAATAAGGATGTCCCTGTACATTTCGCCGTTCATAATGCCTTCTATCTTCTTTTGGAGACTTACGCCCGATGCGGTGAAACAGCCCCAGACCATAATCGAAGCGCCACCATGTTTAACGATCTTTTTCGTGTATGTTTGATTGTTTGGAGCGACGAATCCAAGTTTAATGTCTTTGGGAGTGATGGTAAACCATATGTACAACGTCCTCCCAACAAACAATTGTACCCCAAATACACGAGAAAGACCGTTAAACATGGTGGCTCTTCGATTATGGTCTGGGGCTGTTTCACCGCATCGGGCGTAGGTCTCCAAAAAGAAGATAGAAGGCATTATGAACGGCGAAATGTACAGGGACATCCTTATTAACAATTTATCTGGAGAATATGCCGATAATTTGCCACTTGCCTGGATATTTCAACAGGACAACGACCCGAAACACACCAGCAAGATAGTCAAGTCGTGGCTTAGCTAAGAGACAATCAATGTTTTGCAATGGCTACCGCAGATCCCCGACTTGAACCCTATAGAGAACTTGTGGGGTATTCTTAAACAAGTCGTTGGCCAAAAAAACAGCAAAAAAAAAAACGATTTTGGCATATTTTGCAGGAAGAGTTGAAGAAAATCACCCCTCAACAGTGCGCACGTCTTGTGGGCTTAATGTCAAAGTGTTGCTCCGCTGTTCTTAATCAGAAAGGTCATCCCACTTAATATTAAACTAAATTTATTAAAATTATAAGGAATATTGGGCAAATTTTAACTTTTTGGATCATTTTCTTCCAGGTGGCTTAAGTATGTGAGCAGGACATTTTGGGGTTGGTCTCAGATTTTTTTAATTTTTCGTTGAATATATATTTTTATAACTTGGTTATTCTTTTATTAGAACACTGATATATAGAACTAATGTGACACAAATAATTGGAGCTGTGGAATAAAAACTTTTCTTAATTTTCGTTAAAATTCTTGGATGAAGTCTTGTGGCTTAAGTCTATGAGCACCACTGTATATTATCATATTTTAACTCTTTAATATCGAATTCTTAATAAGAATAGGCGCACGTCGCCTGTACATGTATATTTTCGTACTTACCAGCAACTCGCACCAGGCAACTGGCACCCCCGTCAAGGTGTCCAAGCCACGATAGACGGTTTTGAAGGAACCGCGCCCAACCTCCTTGTCGTACTTAAAGAACCGGCCGCATGGCGACATGGCCACTGGGTCATCGTCCTCATCGCTTTTACTCTTGGTGATCGATGTGGCCGACGAGGTGGTCGACACCGCCGCTGCGGAGGGCATCAGCGAAGCGGATGCATCAGTGGATGTACCGCTGGTGGCAGCTGCCTCCTCGGCACTGACCTCGGTGGTTTCCAACTTCTTGGCAATATCATCGATGCTTTTCGGCTGCTTCTCGCTCAGAATCTCGGTGTCGTCTTTCTCCTCGACCTGAAAGCCGACGCGCTTAACACCGCTCGAGTGCTTGGTGGAGGACTTTAATGGCACATCGTCTTCAGTCTTTTCGATTGCCAGACTTCGTGACGCCTCGGTGATTATGGTCTCGATAATGCCGGCCACTTGGTGAGAGGTGGCATCCGTGGCATTCGAACGCGTGGGCGTGCGGAACTGCTCCTCCAAATGCTCCGCCTCGCGGGACAGCATTTCGATGTTGTCATCATAGTCGCGTGGAAACTCCGTCTCCAGCTCGACGAACTGCAGCGGATTAGTGTTTCTGCCCGATTGCTCCACATTCTTCCGGACAAATCGAATGTTTTGAACGAAGTTCGCGGTCAGGGTCGTGGGCGTCGTTTTGGACGAGTGCAGTGGAGCCTGTTGCTTAATTAACGGCTCGATCACCGTGTCCGAGGAGGACTTCCTGGCCTCCATTTTTTTAGTGTCCGTTACAACAGCCGCTGGCGTTGCCCCCTTGGCCGACGACTTGTCTTTTCTTTTTAAATTGCCGGAACCTACACCAGCTTTTTGGCTCATGGCATCCCCAGGCATCTCAGCTTTGTCATCCATTCTGTCCTCATTGTGTTCCCTGTGCTGGAGGACTGGAGAGCGGAGCACATCTACATCGATTTCAGTCGCTTGCGGTGAATCGTTCTGGGCGCCGTTGTTGTTTTCGTTGACCTTTGCTGCCGCTGCCTCGTCTTCGTTTCTGGGGCTCACGGCCGTCTTGCCAGTTGGGGAGTTGCTGCTGCTGGAAAAGCGACGCAAAACCCGCAAAAATAGGTTACCTTTGCTGGAAGCCGGTGGTGTATTTGTAGTGTAAAGCGTTGGCAAAGAGGAAGATGGCTCGATAGGTGATGACTGGATCGATGTGGTGCTGCTAGTGCCGCTGGTGCTTGTGTGTGTAGAAAGTGCGTCTTGCTTGCGATTGGGCTTTCTGCTCAGGGTGTCTTTTAGTTTTGATGTCGGGTTCGGTTTATGCCTAGAAGAGGCAGACCTATTAAACGAACGGTGTCGCGACTTTTGTATAGTAGCTCCCTGCACAGTTTGCTCCTCGTTAGAAATGGAGGTATTCCTAAAAGTAGAACGAAATGTAGAGTTTTGTGTAAATAATATGGAATTTTCAATTGCAGTCAAACAATTTAAGTTGAAATTAATTATTGGGCACTATGGGTATCCCTATGGTTCTAAAATTGTTTTAATAATATTATTTTAATACTCTTTGTGTTTTATAAAATTGTATTACTCAGCTTTAGCATTTATATTGACAATGGATTTCGTCCTCTTTTAAGCATGGAATAAACGGAGGAGACGTGGCTTTACCTAATGACGTTTTATTAAAGTTGTTCACCTGAGGTCGCTCGAATTCAGGACTTGTCACTTCAGAAACTGTGTTGTTTATAAGATTTGTCATTGTACTCAAAGAAAAACCGTAGAATATTATTCAGCGATAACCAACATATGAATATATATATTGCATATTTGCTTTTGGAAATTAATCATGGCCTGCTAATAGTTATTCCAGTTTACAAGTACATTTAGGATTGAAAGACTAAATCCATTTATTTTGAATTATTACGCAATTAAGCTGCGGTGAATCAAGTTATCACTAATCATTTGTTATACAACAAAAATGTCCTACTTGGGCAAGTATTAGAATATCCACCCACCTTTGAGGCTGCGTGGTGCAGGAAGTAGTACCATCTTCGCTGATGGCGCTTCCCTTCCGAGCACGGTTCGTAGGTACGACCTCTTGTTGTCGTACAAAGTCACAGAGGGTTTGTCCAATTTTGCAAGATTTTCAGCAGCAGGCCACACCGATTAATCTGAAATTAAACAATGCAAGACAGATGAGACGTGCGCGCTGGGGCAACCAGTTTCAAACGGCTCCAGCATAGAGCTAAGGTGGGAACCGCGGCCCGCCTGTGTTTACTAAGGAAGCGGGGGCGGATCTGGGTGCTGGTAACTACACGTTCCATCCAACACACACTCTTGCCCTACATTGTATAGGGGCAGACCGCCTGAAATATCGCTTACAGCTGTGTGGTGCCGTCTCCTTGGGACTGGGATTGCTTTCCATGAATCATGGGTTTCGATTGCACTACCGTACGTCACTTGTTCTATCGTCTCGTGTGCGGATAAGTATGTACATATGTTCGCCTCGCTTGTGCGTACATGTGTATGCTTGTGCGGTACAACCGCTATACATACATATTTATGTACATTTGATTCGGGGCAGGAAGCATATGCAACAACAACTGGCTATGATGTCATGGTCGAGGGATCGCTCCACTCAGCTCGCTCCGGTCCTCTCTCTGGAATCAATCCACTCGTAGGGATGGGGCTGAACTCGGGCTCGGACTACCACTATCCGACGTTCGCATCGAAGTATTTGCGATGTGTGAATGTATTGCTCAAAGGTATCTCGAGCTAACAATTTTTCATATTACGACACTGCGTTTTTCAAGTAGTCCTGGGGAATCTGCCTCCTAGATGGGGACGGTCGATTGCATTGGACGTGAGCGACGGTCAACGGGAATATCGAGTATTTGGCTTGAAAATTCAATTACTTTCACAAAAGTTTTACAAAGCAGAGTACGAAATAAAAAAATATTGCATTCTAGGGATGTGCCGAAAAATCGATTTCAGTAATCGATATAATCTATCGATAAGTCTACTCGCACCCAGTGGCGGTGGCTGTCGATAGTGCAGCTTACGTCAGCTCCCACGCCTAGGATTAGCCAGAAGTGCAATAACCAGTGTAATCCAGAGATAGCTATTAAAGCTAGTTTATTTAAATCTATGAAATGCCAATTTTAACTGTCTTCAGTTTAATGGAAGCATCAGCTGGGCCACATTTTAACTATTTGTGGTAGGAAAAAAGAAGAATCTCTCCCAAGTTTGTTAATAAATAAATTATTTATTATAAACTAACCCTAATTTAACACCGGCAGCGGGCACTAAATTTGATTTTTCCATTTAGGGGTGATAGTTGCTTAAAATCACACTTCGATTAGCCCAAATATCGAGTACTATCGTAAGAAACGAATATATGCACACCCAATCGTTTTTAAACTACATTTTTTGTTATCACTAGAATCCGTTACCTTATCCCTGAAAGCGTTTAGTTTTGGAAATATTATTTGTATTCTTAGTTTTAAAGTAAATCATTAAAAAATGGACTTTTTAAAAGTTTTGTAAAATTGTTTGGTTATATTTAAGTTTTAGGGTTCGTAATTCTTTTTTAATGACTATTTAAAAAATGGTTTTAATGAAATGTTGGTATCATTTGACAGTGAGTGTTTGTAAAGTGATACAAACACTCACTGTCAAATGATACGATATGATCACGTAATAAATATAGTATAGGAAACCGAGATGAGTACAGTTAAATTCAAGAATATTTAAATCTTATCATAAAATCGACAAAATTTTAAAAAATTCCAAAGGGTTACATTGATAGTGACAGAAACCACGCAAAGAAAACACTTAAATTTTCAAATCTTATGGTCGCTAAAATAAATTAAGTTAATTTATCGTTTATTCATATTCATGTGCATGATCCCTTGCTTTTAATTGTCACACCTGGAATAAAAAAAAAAGTTTAGTCATAGAATGGAAAGTTTTCTTCAATATGTACATACTTATATTTAGGCAGGATGAATAGCACTGCAGTTGCGTTTCTCCCGTGTACATGTATCCATCAGATCCACAAATTATTTCATCGTTCTCATCATAAACGTTGGCACAGATTTTCTCGCAGTAACTTTCTGTATCTTTTTGAGCATCTTCAGTAGCGGCACTTGGCAGGGTGCGTACCTGCTGATCCTCCAGCTAAAATGATCGAGAATATATTTAAATTTATTTATAGAATGAAAGAGACGTCATTACTTATTATAGTTCAAAATGTTACAAACTAGTAACCGCTTTGCTTCCAAAATGTTTTATTTACCACCATTGGCTTAGTAAGAGCATTTCTTCGAATCAGTGGGGGTGGAAAAAAACCAAAATTCTTAGGTTGCTACCTTTTTTGTCTTTGTTTTAATTATGTCAAACAAAATCCAAATTTTAGAAGCACGCGATAGGTCATGTACTTTGAATAAAACAAGAAAGGAAGCTAACTTCGGCACGCCGAAGTTTGTATACCCTTGCAGATTGGTTTCGATGTTTATATTATAGATTTAAATGCTGAAAAGACTCACAAAACAGTGTTTCATTACATTTTACCTATACTTATTATGTTTACAGTTTGACAGTTACAGTTTTACATTCCCAGCTTTACATATTTTATACATTTACTGATCGCTTCTATGGCAGCTATAAGATGTAGTTGTCCGATTTTTATGAAATTTATACCAAAATTCTAGAATAATAAACAAAAGTTTATATCTCAGAGTAAATAAAAATACGTTGAAAAACAACGAAGCTATAATTTTTTTCCTATTAATTTCCCGATCATTCCTATGGCAGCTATATCATATAGTCGTCCGATTTTCATTAAATTTTTACCAAAATTCAGAAATAATATAAAATGGCCACATTTAAAAAATGGTGCAAAAATGTTGAAAAACAGCAAAGTTATAAATTTTTTATAGAAATTTATCGAACATTTGCTTGGCAGCTATATGATATAGTCGTCCGATCCGTCCCGTTCCGACACAGATAGCAGTGAGAGTATATAGAAGACTATATGCAAAGTTTCATTTAGATAGCTTTAAAACTGAGGGACTAGTTTGCGTAGAAACAGACAGACGGACAGACGGACAGATGGACAGACGGACAGACGGACAGACGGACAGACGGACATGGCTAGATCGACTCGGCTGTTGATGCTGATCGAGAATATATATACTTTATAGGGTCGGAAACATCTCCTTCACTGCGTTGCAAACTTCTGACTGAAATTATAATACCCTGCAGGGTAAATATGTATGGTATATATTTATATATATATTATATATTTTTAATTCAAACTTAATATTTTAATATGTAATGTTTTCTCAAGTGTCGATGAGAAACTTGAAGTATTTTTCGGCTCGAAAAAATTACAGTTAATTTCAGAAAGCCAGGTTCAAATAAATTAAGAGAAACCCAATTTGCATATTGTATTAAGTATAAAGTAAATCTCACCTGTTTTCCGTTTTCTGTATCAGCACTGTCTTCTGGGTCGTCGCTGTATTCTTTGATGGGCTTAGCGAGTTCTTTGACAGAGGCAGGAGTTTTAACCGGTTCCCGGACTGCTTGGGCGACCGTTTCGTAGTAAAATTGATTTCCCTGTGGGGATTGAGTGTACTTCATGGATCCCCTAATGGCATCCTGTTCGGTAAATTCAAATCTTACTGGCTCTGGCGTGTAGCTCTTATGACTCTTTCCAAGCTGTTGACCCTTCGGGGGAGTTTGGGTCGACGTTTGCACCGACATAGGAGTTGAGACCACATGCTTGACGGCCTTGTTGCCGTCGGACTTGACCACGAACACATCCTGACCGGCCTGATAACTTCCTCGAACCACTGCGGAATTTGCAGGAGCTGGGTCTTGCTGGTAGAACAAATCAGAAACTTGTATGGGCTCATTGTAACTGGAGGAGGCTGAGTTGTCTAGACCACCAGATTTATAGGGAAGCTGTGGCTGAAGCTGCTGTAGTTGCTGATGTTGCAGTGGCTGGTGTTTCTGTTGGTGCTGCAAATGCAGATGTTGCTGCTGCTGGTGGGGCTGCTGTGGCTGGTGCTGCAAATGCTGCTGATGTGGATATTGGTGAATTTGCTTCTGCTGGTCGTGCTCGGCGTCCAACTTTTTATAATCAGGATCTCGTTTGGGAAGAAAGTATTCGTTGGTGCTCATAAACTGCAAGTAGTCCTGTGCGTCCTTCGACTCTTTTAGGTGAGGCGTAGCCTGGTGATAGTTTACTCCCTGATTATACCCGGGTTTCGACAAATTATCCGACTCTTCGTGAACCGAATACATTTTCTGCTCCTGCGGGAATTGATTATTTTGAAGCGCGGTCTGTTGAGAGGGAACAACGCTGAAACTGCCGCCCTGTTGACCTAGTAGCTTGGGATAATGCAAATATTGAGAAGCCTGTACGGGGATTGCATGCTGTTGAATAGGCGCGTATACTGGTTTTTGATCCTTCAGGATGATATTTCCATTAAATCGCGGTGAGGCTTTGAAATTTTGAATGTACTGCTCGGAAAAATATTTTGGAGGAAACTGATTTTTTCCAACATCCAAAACCGGATCTTTAACATGGGCAAATCGCCCGGGCTGGTTCTGGTCGTAGTGATAGCGTCGGTTCTGATCATTGGAAGGAACATTTCCGGAGTGTTCACGGCGCATTAAATGCTGAACCGTGGCAGGTAGTGGAGATTTTAGTGAGAAGTCCTTCGGGAACTTGTTGTGGTTAAGGGAAAGCAGGGGTAAGTTATCCGAACGTGACCTAATTCTGGGCACTAGTCCGGGACCTGGTCGGTTGTGGTAGAAATGCGGCTGGGGTTCACTGAAGAATGGCATTAATCGCGAATTCCTTAGGCCACTCTCATCACACTGCACTTTATATGAGAATGCGAACAGAAATATTGCCCCCAAGAGGGGTACTGACTTAATGGCACTTTGCGACATTTTGGAGGGCCGCCAAAAACAAGGTGTCGAGATCCGTTCAGTGGCAGTAACGCGTCTTAATTCCACGACAGTCTATTCGTATTTGACATTTGTCAGTTCCGCGGAGGCCAAAAGCAAAAAGTCTCTTTCAGCGAAGCTCGCTGGAAAGCTTCTTCTTCTTTCGCCACGATCTCGCAGACTTGATCTCACTTTCTTTGTTATCTGGCCAGTTGTTTCAAATAAAATGGAACGTCTCTCGGCGATGCAGCCAGCTAATGGCAAAGCTTCGGTTTCGGACCCAGTTGCAACGAGCTACGTATTCAAAACCTAGTCGATTCAATTGGCCACATTCTTCAGCGCTTGCTGTTCAAAAGCCAAAGAACCGTTAATCAATCGAGGGTCTCGACTATCCGATCACTTTCTTCTTGAATTTTGGTGGTGTCTTCGGTTGGAAAGCCACTGAGTTACAAATGGAACGTTTCTGAGCCAGCTGTGTGCTGGAATCCATCGCAATGACCGGCCACTAAACCAGTTTTGAGACTCTGCCACAGAGGAAATGTGGATGTGGTGGCCTCTAAGCTGCTGAGAGATCACATACATCGTTGCCGCAGATTAAGAAGCTGAGGTACTCAAACCCGAGACCGAACCTCTGGAGCACAGTGGTATCATTTCAGAAACGATAGATCTATTAACCAGATTTACTTTTTAATTTGCTTACCTAAAGTGCAGGTGAAAGTAAATGAGAGCAGATGGAACTCCAAGCTTTAAAAAAAAAAAACATTTTTTGGAACCCTTCAGGTAATTGGAGACCTCCGGCACGGAAATCCCTAAGTGTCAGCGATTCATTGCTTCATAACGGATAAAGAATGTCTGATCCGTTGATAAGCAATTTTTGAATTTCAGAGTTTATTTACATTTGGGTTTTTATCTTCGAGAAAAGTGAAAATTTATTATAATTATAGATACAACTAATGGGTACAACTTTCGCTTCTGTCGTCAATTTGGCATTGCTTGTGCTTTTCTTCAGAGAGAACAAGCTATGAAGAGATAATTTCGATCATTGTTATGCAAAATGTCCGAAACCGTAAACATTCGTTTACGTATTCATTCATAAAAGCCCTGTTATTTTTGGTTGCTTTCAAATTTGTGATCAGCAAGTTAAAATTCTCTTGATGTTTTCATTTAAAAGTTTTTTTTTTTTTTTTTGTATTAATAAAATTAATAAAATCGTTTGTCTTTACACGATTTAACGTTAGCTGAAATTGAAACATTCAAGCATATTATTGGCAAGACTTTCTTATTGGCTTAGACTATGGATTTTGCAAAGTAGATGTCTATGCGGTTGTTTGAAATCTTTTATATGTCCTCCATTGGCTGAATTTTAGTTTTTGAGTTCATAATGATAGGCTACTTGAGGATATTATTATTATTATTATTTATTCTTTACACAACATTCCTTGACATTCTGTATTCAAGAAAATATATCTTTTTGTCTTGCTTTTATCGACTAAAATGGTTTGTTGACTTGGATGGAATTTTTTTTCTGGTTCGTATTCAGTGACCTTAAAAGAATTACTTTTTTTAGTGCATTATATAAATCGAAATGATAGAAAAATTAAAAAAGTAGCAATATGAAAGAAAATTGACATTATTTGTTATTTTTAAATATATTTGAAGATATACTATTGGTTGTGATTCTAAAATGTCTTTTTAATAGTTTTGACCTATGAACGATTTATATAAAAACAGGAAAATCAAGCAAAGTTCGCTTTTTACTGATCTGTGTTTTATAACTCTAAGTTTTTAAGTTTTGTTATTATTATAATTTCAGTCAGAAGTCGTCTTCGACCTTATAGAGTATTCTAAATCAGTTTCAAAAATCCTGTCGATCCAGCCACGTCTCTTTGTATTATTTCAGAAAATCGTTCGACTATTTTATATAGTAAACACACATGCCACATACAATTTTCTTCTAATTATAGGTGTTTTTTTTATTATACATGATTTAGTAGTAATGGAATCTCTTTATATGCTATTCATGCTTTGATATTGGTCGGGCATTAGGTCTAAATGGAAGTTTCCTCATGTTCAATCCAAATTTCGTTATCCACCTTCGGCTCTTCAGCATCCGTTTGTCGATTGGTAGAGTTATTTTCCAGGACAATAACAATGTCAGTTGTACTCAGAACTGTGGAGTCCGCATTCTGAAGATTAAAGTGCAAAAAAATGAATGTAAAAGCGACGTAAATATATTTAACAACTAATTTGTTATTCCAGTCCTATTGTAGGCACTCTGACTTTTAAAGACATTGGTATAAATAAGTGCACATGTGCTTTGATTCTCTCGACTTGCCCGGAAAAAGTTAGGTTCCCACAGGAACACATGTAAACAAATCCAATTTAAGCAAGGATAAACCGTGAGTGGTAAGCAACGGTAAGCATTGGGAATTAGAAAGTTCTTCGAACTGTTCAGAGCAAAATAACTTTTTAATTTGATTTATTCAGTAACACACTTTTGAGCATTGAGAGGGAGAGACATACATAGCTAGGCATTGTTAAGTAATTTTTGAATCTTTGTAACTTATGTTATGTTATGAGAACCAGCAGCAAGGCAATCTGATGGTCTTAACCAAAGACTAAGGCTTTATGAACTTGGAACGGATTGAGTATCTAATGTATTTACCTTCGGTAGGGGCAGACTGTATGTTTTCTTTATTAATACTCTATTCGAAGAAATTGAGTCTGTTTCGTATTTGTTATTTTGATGCCGGCTGGACCTCACGTGAACCTGAGAAGTTAAATGGAAATTTAGATAGAAGGATTTGGCCCCTCTTAATAAATGAATAGATATGTGACTTACAGAATGGACCCGGTCATAATTAACGTTCTTGCCCAGAGTTGTGGCGGTGCTTTCCCGGAAACTGGAGTGGTCCCTGGCAAATCCACTGTTGTAATATGCACCCGCGGGTCTTCCGCAAAGGAGTTCTCTGAACGCGACCCTATAGCGTCTAGACATCACGCTGTACACGATCGGGTTAATGGTGCTATCAGAGATGCAGTTGAAGTAAGTTTTTGTTGTTTAAACTAAGGGAATTACTTAGGTTTACCATGAAACGTAGTAAGCAAATCCGGCAATCGAAAAGAGTGCTTCGTTTATGTCCAAATAATTGTCATTTTCCTGGGCATAAAGGAACCAAAGCCGTTGCACGTGAAACGGAAACCAACACACGAAAAACGTAATCACAACAGCGGCTATACTGATTCATTCGATTAGTATTAAGTTTCTGCTTTTGAATATGACAAAGCTCACCCAACATTCGTATCACTGTCTTTTTTCTAAGCTGAGAGTTGCGGGTCTCTCGATTATTAGTGCCATGCTGCACACCTGAAAGTGTTTTTCAGATAATTATAATTCTGCTATTTAACACCGAATGAAACAACATACTTACCCAGCTTTTGATTTGTTCGAGATCGGATCTTAGCCCCCATTCGTCCATACAGTATCATAATAAGTATCATGGGAATTACGAAGAATATACAAAATGAAACTTCGAACACGGGTATCATGGTTACAGTCTGAGTGGACATGGAGCAGAATGCTGATTCCTCGATGCGGGAATCATCTGCAATTGTTTTGAAGCACAATTTTAAGCCTGAAAGGCTGTTTATACATTTCTTTTTGCATACCCAAGGGATACTGGAGATATTGAATATCTGAGAGTAGGCCAAAGGGTATAGCACTTATGAAACTTGCGATCCAAAGAGCTGTTATTATACGAATAGCCCGCTTAAAGCCAACCATGGCATACAAATGCAATGGATGGCATATAGCCAAAAATCGTTCCATGGAAAATGCAACGATGGTGAATACGGACACATAGGTACATCTGTAAAGTGGTTTCATTCGATTTAAAGCGAAAACTATCAGGCCTGTTCTAGTTTCCACTCGGAAGTGAATTTGATAACATTTGCGGATTTCCCTTTAACATAAGCGAATTTCCCTTGGTGATTTAAGGAAATTTTTTAAATTTCCCTTAAATTCCCAAACAAAATCAGCTGGTCGCTTTCAACAAAAGGAGATTCCCTTGTCTAAGATTTGCTAAAAGGGGCTGATAAAATTTTGGCCCGCTGTAGTCTCCAACTCATAGATAGTAATGAAGCACTAATTTAAATAATAAAATCTAAGGAATAAGCATTAAGACAGGAAATAAACATTTTGAAATATTTGTAATTGCAATCAGCTGTTCTGGTGGCAAAATGCTCGAAAGTAGAGTTGCCGAGGGTTTAGAAAAAATTCCCTTCGCATAAAATTTAGTTCAGTTTGTGGATTGAATTGGCTGGTATTTTAAAGAAAAACACTTTTTCTTATACTTTACCTAATAGCAGATATTTTAATTGTAAAACAACATAAAAAGTAATTGTTCGAAATTAATCTTAAATATATGTCGTTTTTTTTTTTGAAACGCTGACAACCCTTAAATGGTCCCTCTCAAATACGACACAGCGGCAGCGGATTTGCAATAATGTTGAAGGTTAGAATCGAACTGATTTTAAGGTGCACCCACAAAATAATTATTTATAAATCAAGTACTTTAGTATTAGCTAATTCAATTATGCAATAATGTTCCCAAAACCTCTAGGAATATATTACAATTAACATTTGTAATATACATAATCGCATTGTATTTTAAAATAATTAATTTCTGATTTTGCGGATTTGAATCCGCCGGCCAAATGGCACACGGAAAGTTTCCGTGCGTTTCGTCTGCAAATTAACAGAGACTTAACAGAGGGAAATACGAATCCGTAAAAATTTTTCGGAAGTGAACACTAGAACAGGTCAGGGAAATCCGAATCCGAATAAATTTTGCGGAAGTGGAAACTAGAACAGGCCTGTATATTTTTTTTGGCTTACGCTTCGGAAATAAATGCGCGTATCTTGCAAAACGGCATCCCAAATAGATATGGATACTGGTGCCAGTATAGAAACACTTCCGTAGGTAGTCCTGGATTCATATAAATATGTGTATAAAGTGGAAGATTAAAGCTCTTGGGTTTCAAATCAAAAGATCTATTTAACTAACCAAAGAGGAGGTACAGCAAATCCGAGACAGCTAAACTGAAGAGATAATAATTCGTCGCCGTGTGCATTGCAGAGTGCCGAATAATCACTATGCATACTAATAGGTTTCCTATGACTCCAGTTATAAAAACGCCTCCGAATATGATTGTTATCTGAAAATGGTTAAAATAATAGTGAATGCCCTCGCCTCTATTTGTTAATTAATTCGTGGCTAACAGCAAATATGTACA